GGAGCTGTGACCTTTCCTTAGGAAAGCAGTCAGCCCTAGGAAATCTCCCAGTGATGGGAGTAGAGAAATGAATATTTTGACATTATTCTTCCCTAATTCTCTAATTTGTTATTTGTGCTCTCCATTATCCAATACCAAACATAATCCAGAGGATATGTGACCCTTGTTGATGTACATTATACTAATAAGTTTCCTAGAGAAGATAGCAGGGAAAACGGTAGGGACTGGATCTGTAGGGGCAAACAGAAATGTATGGCATATTCTACTTTCAGAATTATTTAATAAATTGATAGACACATAGGCTGCTTTCCCTCCTTCATCCTTTTATACCCCCAAATACAGAATTAAGTATTAAAACCAGAACAGAGTTAGAAGGCAGATGTCCACAATCAGTATTATGTTTCTTACACACCGCATATTCTCTTTGGACTTCATCTACTCCTATAGCTCTGGTTACCATCTATATGTTTATGATTCTGCCCAGACCACTTTCTAACTCTTTTCATGAGCACATCCAACTGTCCCTGGAATGCCATCTGGATGCTCCACAGACTTCTCAAACTAGTTTAGTCAAGTAAGCATCCAGCATTTATTTCTTGATATCCTGACAAAGTTGCAATATGAAGGAGCCTATTTCTTCATTTTCTAAAACAAAGGCAGAAAATTAAGGAAAGATTATTTTTATTATGATTAGGAGAGGATTATACAGGTAAACATTTATGTCATAATATAGTCTCTACTCTAAGGCATAGATTGAGACTTCTGCCACTTATAGCATCTGACATGCTGATTTTAGTTTGCTTTTACCTGAATAACTGTACTAGCTAATACTTACTGATTATTTCCTATGTGTCAGGTACTTTACTTATATTTTTATTTAAGTCTCACAAGAACCCTATGATAAGGAGGAAATTTAGGCTTAGAGTTGTTTTGCACAAGGCCTCATAGCTAATAAGGACTGGAGGTGAGTTTTAGTCCTAGATAGCTTAATTTCAGAATATATGCACGCCAGTTCTCTGCACTATTGAATACAAGTCATTGTCATAGTTCAGGACAGAAGGTTTGGCTCAAAGGCTAACGTCTATGTGCTGCTGAGTCTTACCCCTAGGGGTAAGGAGGAAATGATAACTTATAGGGTAAAAGTAAATGAAAATGTAGGATATTTTCTTTTTCTTTTTTAAACCATTAATGAAACATGCATTGTACTAGGTAGTGGGGGCTAGAGGACAGTCTAGTGGGGAAGATAGGTAAATACACTGTAGAAAATTTTTAAATTACAGTAGATTTGTGTGCAAAGCTTACATAATATTAACGAAAATAGATATGGACAGAGTTCATTCATTCAGTTCACTCACTCAAAGAGCATTTCCCAAGTACCTATTACACTACCTGGAAGGTGTGGAAACGAGAAAGAAAATGACACAATCCTCATCCCAAAGAAGCTCAGAGCCTAATGGAGATGTTTCTGGGGTGACAGGTACAAGAATGGAGCTACCAGGCATGGAAAGACCAAATAACCTGGAATGTTCAGACAATGCCAGCTGTATATTTGTTACTTTAGCAAAAAGTGAAGGCGTTGGATTATCAATAGGAGGGGAACTAGAGAGGAGTGTAGTGCACAGGTGTAAAGGGCTTTTTACTAAATGACCCAAATTGTTGCTGGTGGAATTGCAAGGGTACACACATTTTCCTCTATCATTAGTTTCATTAAAATAATCTGAAGGACAAAATCATGTGCTTTTTACTATTAAAATAAGGATGTATTATGTAGGTGGATGCAATAACTAATGGATTAGTGAAATACGACATGACACTAATTTTTGAAAGTTGGGTCTATGAAGTAGATAGATAGGACGTTATAGGACATTCCACACTGGGCTAGCAAATGGCTTTGGGAGAACAGTTCCCGATCCTCAACTGTCAGAGGATGAAGACAAGAGAGTTGGAGAACACTATGTGTTAGAAGCGAAGAGTCATGCGCACACTGGACTGGAAAGAAAACGGAGAACAGATTGGAGCCAGTGAGTTCCTTTGCTCCCAGGAGCCATCATTCCTAGAAATTCTCCCACCTGCAGCCCTTCCGTCACAGAAGCATAGCCTCCTTTGAACTGCCCTTTGAACTCCTGGCGTCTGGTTGCCGCGGCAACCTGCTACCCAAGCGCGCCACCGCAGCCTTTCTGTCATTGGCTTAGAGGGCGCAGCGCACGTGTGACGTCACTGCGTGGCGCCGGGTGCGCAAGCCGCGCGAAGCCGCAGTCTCCTTAATTTTGGCGGCCAGCGGCGACTGCGAGCCTGGCGTGTCCCCACCTGGGGCGGCGGTGGTGTGCTGATCGCGGCGGCAGAGGCGGGGTAGGAACCCTGAGTCGAGGACCAGACCGCGGGCGCGGGAATCCTGCCCCGCGCTGTCCGCACGCCGGCTGGCCAGATGCTCTGTGGCCAGTGCCGCCGGACGCGGTAGCTAACGACCCTAGAGTTCCTGATGGCCGAGAGCGCGCGCCCTGCCTTTCCTGGTTCTTGGACTGCAGCAGCTTTCGTAGGCCTTAATTGAAAACGGCCATCCCTTCCCACGTCCGCCCCACTTTTCACTTCTTTTTTTCCATTTTTTTTTTTCTCCGTGTCTTCCTCATTTTTAAACTTTGACAACACTGATCCTGAACTTTGGAAGTGGGTGGTGGCGGGGATAGTGGGGGAATTGGAAAGATGGAAAGCAGATTTTACTTTGAATTTACTGTATGGCAAAAAGGAATTGGAATAAGTGGATCTTGAACTGCCCGTGCTTCTTGCAATTTGAAGGAGTTGTAGAGAATGAACCACTACTATTAAACTTTGCAAGAGTTTTCTAGATATTGGAATATAGGTAGAAAAACACGTGGGCACTGCCCCCCTGAGAATTTAACAAGCAATTCCGTACAGTTTTCTGAAAAACCGGGCGGGGGAAGAAAGTACATGTAGGGAAAGAGATGGGATATTTGAGTTGAACAAAACAACGATAAGAAGTATGATTTCCGAGCATGGACACAATGCCCAGGACACCTCATGGGTGACTTACAGTACTTAATGAAGCTTAAGGGAATGGTGCTTGCACAGTGAGGCCTTGTTTGCCTGATTTGTTCTCTGATACTGTGACATAGTTTTAAGTGTTCCATGATCAGTGGATTTATGGATTCTGTGTCTACGTAGAATCTTTCTATTATTTTGTAAGAGAATGAAATAAAGGATGATATTGATAGTATTTATTAAACAATTTTCTTCTTATTTCTTCTTCCAGTCACTACCACTTTACAACCACTGTGCACAAGTTATGAAAAAGCTAAAGCATTTTGAGAATAAGATGAGTTAAAAAACATTTTTTCTTTTACAAACAGTTGATGTTCTGACTTCTCAGTGGTATGCTTCTAGGTAGATGTTATTTTTTAAAACTTAGGTAAAGAGCAGTATTTTTAACAAGCAAAAACATAATTGTTTGGAAAAGAAACTCTAATGTAGTACATTTTGAAAAAAATATAGAAATATTTACATTTTTTGTGTGTCTGCTTATTGCTGAGAATTCCATAAGTATACTACACATAAAAACTCCCCTGTATACTTAGCAACCATGAAGCTCAGTTTCCCTAGCATGTTTAAAAGTCTTTCAGATGAAGAGTTTCAGTAGCCTTTTGAACTCATTCAAAATAGGCAGTGTCACATGAACAACTTTCTGACATAAAGAAGATAGAAATTTAGCTGTAGAATTACATATAAAACTTTTTAAGATTTGGTAGGTAGGTTTGAAAAATGTGCACCATGAGTTTATGTGACTGTGCACTTTGTGGGTAGGCATTTTGCAATGTGTGTGTTTCAAGTAGGAGAACTCTTACAGTTTACCATGAAAAAAATTAAACTGAATCTTCAAATTGATGTTAAGTCAATTTTTTCAACAAGGACATATTTAGTCGCATTTACCACACTATTAATAATAATACTAATACCAAAACAACTCTTTGTATCATGGGTTAGCTTTCTATTCCTTTAACAAATACCTAAGACAGCCTAGAAAGAAGAAAAGGTTATTTTGGCTCACAGTTTTAAAGATTTCAGTCCAAGGTCAATTAGCGTCTTATATTGGGGCCTGTCATGTGACTGTGAGGGGTGCTGTAGAAGAGAGATAAGTGAACTAACATTCTCTGGGTAAGCAACTTTATATATCATCTTTTTATTCTTCTGTAAAAGCCTTGATAGGAAGGCAAGGCTTGAGGAGGTGATATAATCTGCTTGAATTCATAAACCTTATAATTGCTAAAGCTGAGATACATACCCAGGATGAGCCCATATCTGTGCTTCCTCATCACATGTTCACCACAGTTACAGGTTTGAGTGTAGACAGGACACAATGATGATCCTAAGTTTTTCAGTCTGGGTACCAGAAGACTGGTGGCACCTTGAATTAGCAAAGGATTCATAATTTCAGTGTGACAATCTCAGATTCGGCTTAATTTAAAGAGCTTGTAGTACATTATGCAGAAGAGATCATTATGTCAGTGGAAACTTAGACCATGATAGATAGACATTAGCATTTGGAGTCTAGAAAGAGGCCAGAGAAGATGGAGAAGGCACTGCTACCTTCCCTTTCCCTGCCAGTCACCGCTTTCAGAGATCTCTTACATGTCTTCTTACGTGGCCAGAGTTTTACAGATGAGCTTCTTAGAGTATATTTTGACAATTCAAATGGAAAAAAAGACTATATATCTTTACTTCTTATAGATGGGATGCACATGGTAGCTGTAAATTATAAGCTGTGTTTGTACACACTCTTGTGTAATTATACATTATTAAATATAAATTATATATTTTATCTTTTAATGGTTATTTTGTTGTCAATGAAATTATTGCAGTTGGTAATTTCATACCTTCTCATTAGTTTTTTCAGGCATTTTGCTCCACAGCATGACTTTTTGTTTATTTTCTGTGTTTTTGTACTCTATTCTGTTTTGATCTTTTTGTTGGTAACAGATAAATTTTGAAATCAAGTTTCATTTAACTACAGGAGTAAAAGGCAAGCGATGCAGAAATCAGAGTGTCCTGGAAGTGTACAGTTGAGAAACAGAGTAGCAGGTACAGAGCCTTGCTTTTTAAATGAAAAGACCAAGTTTGTTAGTGAGACTGTGTTCCACATGGATTGAGAATGAACTTTATTGCCTTCAGTTCATCTCTTTTTTGTTGATGTTCTGTGTTTTTCAGGTAACTGTGATCAAAGGACATCCACAAGTGCACAAATAAAACACAGGACTACAGCTCAACGAAGCAAATCCTCCTCTTCCACCAGTTCTCCAGAGTCTGCACAAAAACTTCATCCTCGACCAAGTGATAAACTTAACCCTAAAACAATTAACCCTGTAAGTAGATTCCTTAACTCAGTTGACTTTTAAAGGTAATAGGTCTTTAGCCTAATGTTGTTGAACCATTGTGAATGCCGACCTTAGTTTCCCTCTTGCTAGTTTTTAGCAGCTGAGTCAGTTTTGATAAGCCCTGTCCGATCCAGTGATGAACATTGTACAGCATAAATTAAATCTCTACACTTTTTCACCTCCACTTTCACTCCCACACACACATTGTTGTCTCTGTTCTTCATCTTGACCACTGTACACTATCCTTTCACCACAAGCTTAAAAGTAGCAAGTGGAGAAAACTCTACTCAGCATTCAAAATGTGTCAGTCCTATAGAGGATAAGCTTTAAATTAACTCCTTTTTTCTATGGGAAAGTATGTTTGGAGGACAAGGACGGTATAAAATAAAATAATAATAAATGATATAGTTATAAAACTCAGTCTATGTTTTGAGTAATAATTCTTACCAGTTCACTCATTTGTTTCTGATTTCTGCTAAGAAATCAAAGTTTTTAAAATCATCTCAAATAATAATATCAGAAGTTATTTGAAAACTTACGTACTAAGTATATTTTTAAGCTTTGACATATAACTTTAAAAAATTAGCTTCTTATATCTTTTAAATAGGTTAGTAAAGTTATACTTTATAATTTACAGAAATGTATTTAAATGATTATATTCAATGTACCATTTGGTAAAATATTTATTTTTTTGTCCTGATCAATAATATTGAAATGATTTGTGCTGAGATTATTTAATTTGTTGTGGTTGAGTACAGAATTACTGAATTCTTAAGATAATGTATACAAAACTAGAAGGCTATAAAGTTATAGAATCTAAGAAGACTCAAATGTTTACGAGAATTGCACAATCTAAGTCTCACTCCTGCCAGCCTAATACTTTGTTTTTAACAGAAGCATAAAAGCCAGTTTGGAGAAGGTGTACAGATTCTCTTGCACCCATACCATCTTATTTGGCTGTAGGAATATGTTGGTGGTTAAAAACAAATCACTTGCCTTGTACAAAGCACTTCTCTATTCACTCTTCTTGAAAAGGCAGTCCATATATGGTTTCAGCCACCTGCAAACCTGCTGTAAAAAAGTAGATGTTTAAAAAAAAGAAATGTACAGAGCTTACTTATAGTATTACTAGTATCAAGAGGATTGACAGTTTTTCTCAGTTGCCATATTGCTAATCAGGAATGCTGCATGTGATACCAGAGTGGTGGTTTCAAAGTCAGGGTAGCTGTTTGCTTCTGATCTCAGCAGGGTTAAAATTGATTAGGTATTGCAAAGTAGAGATAATTGTAATATTTTCATTTTTTATTTCAGTTTGGTGAGCAGTCACGAGCCCCTTCTGCATTCGCAGCCATTTATTCTAAAGGTGGTATTCCTTGCAGGTAAAATCAATACAATTTATAACTGACCATATTATTCAGAATAATTGAGTAAAAGCAACATAGTATTTGGTTTTATTTACTAGTAAAGTTGAAGATTTCATGCTTTGGCTATTGGATTGGTACAGATTCCTGGACACTGAAGAAACCCATTATAATCCTAAAATATAATTACAGAGATCTATGGTAAACAATCAAATAACTTAAAAAACTGAATGAATCACTTTAAAATGATCAGCTTAAGCATTCATAGGCTTGGGCAAGTTGCAAAAAAAAAATAATAATAATACTATCTTGTTTGTAAAGTGACAATTGGCAATTTAGTAATGAAGCTGTATTTCTTAGTAAGTACATATGGCTGTTTTTATTTTCTTTTGGGTTAATTCTTGTTGCCTTTTTTCACAGTATGACCAGTTTTAACTTGTCCTAGATGATAGAAAAATTTGCTTACATTACAGAAAGGATAATTGCAACATTCATTTCTTTTGGTTCCAAAATTTTTTAAATGTAGTTTTTAATGGTATTTTCAAATTTTGAGTGAGAAATAAGCTTGCATTTATTATTATTTCTTAATTAAATACTAAATTGAAGCCCTATTTTTAGGTTCTCTCTTGAATGTCTTCTCCCAAAGCAATTGGGTTTTGCTGAAAATATAAAAATAGTGTTATAGAGGGAGTCAAGAAGTTGAGACCAGTACAGAGGAGTGTGTAGGAATGTCTGGGGTGATAGATGAGCTTGTTGTCATGATAATAGTGATGGGTTCTCAGGTGTGTTTGTATGCTGAAGCTTATCAAATTGTTCATTTTAAGTATGGGCAATTTATTTCATGTCATTTGCACCTCAGTAAAGTCTGTTTGGAAAAAAAAAAGAGAGAACAGAGACACTAATTCAGGGGTGACCTCTTTGTAACCCTGAAAAGGTCATTTCACTTTCTTGGTCTTCTCATCTTTCTTCTCTAATACATACCAAACTTGATTTGCCTTCAAATGTTAGTATTAGGGTTCAGTGAGCTCTATTTGAAAGACAATGTTCTTTATAAAACACAACCTTTCTAATACATTTTGTTTGCTTTTTCATTTTCTGTAGGTTTCCTGTGTTGTAATTATATCTGAGAGATACCAGTTGGAATATTTGCACTGAGATTCACAGATAGCAACATGCTGAAGTACTATAGTTGTAGGTTTAACAAATGTGAGGTTACTAAACAGTTTTGCTGAAGGAGTAGTGGTTTATAGGATTATAGACATTGCTTTGTAAAATGCCCTTGTAGTATCTTTTGAAGTCATGATTCTCCTATATGTTACAAAATAATTCTAATATGGTTATACTTCATGAAGAGTACAATTTATGTTAGAAAATCCCTGTTGATATATATTGTGGATTTTTTGTTTTGTATTTTAGATTGATACATGGGTCAGTAAAACACAGATTACAATGGGAATGCCCTCCTGAAATTCTTCCATTTGATCCTCTTCTTATTACTTTAGCTGAGGTAAACATTGTATTTCTCTTGTATTTATGAAAAAAAAATTTTAAAATTGCATGGAATGTTATTTTGTAGCTTGTAAACAAATCTCATTCTGTACTTTTGAAATAAGAGCTGAACAATAGCATTTAAACCTTGTACTCTGTTAGGAAGTAATTATGATTCTCATTTATTAGAAATTGATTAACCAGTTCTGTAAACTTAAAATTGTTCTAAGTTAGTCCACATTATCCTGTGCTCCCAAAATCATAGATCCTGTGGTCTACAGTGGTGCTTATCTGCTTGGCAACACACTTTTCAGAAGCCTGGAGACATGGAGAAAAGGGAGTGTTTGATCACATATTTGGAAGCAGATAGTTAAGTCTACAGAACAGAATACTTGAAACTGAGTATTTCTAAACGTGACTTTGTAGCTATTTATACTTAACTGGCTTCACAAATAATTAGTCAAAGTGGAGGAGCTTTGCTATTGCTTTTATAAAATTTTGTTTTGCTGTGCTGGTATGGTGGCTCACACTTGTAATACCCACTATTCTGGAGGCAGAGATAGGAGGATCACAGTTTGAGACCAGTCTAGGCAAAAAGTTAGTGAGACTACATGCACGTCTCAACAAATAAGCTAGGCATGGTGGTATGCACTGTCATGTCAGCTGCAAGGGAAGTGTAAGTAAGAGGATTGTGGTCCAGGGCAACCAGGCAACAAGCACCAGACCCTCCTGAAAAATAACTAAAAGCAAAAAGTGCTAGTGATGTAGGTCAGGTGGTTAAGTGCCTGCCCAGCAAGTATGAGTCCTGAGTTCATCATCTCCCCCCTGCAAAAAAAACAAAAAAGTTTTGCTTTGTTTTATCTTTTTGGAAAAGGTTAGATGGCCTTTTTATCTGGACTCAGAGTGATTAGTTAAGTCCTAAATGGATGCCGTCTGCTGTTTCTAATGGATTCGGAGCAAAAGGCATAGTGGAAGGATGCGCTGGGGTTTTTGTACATTTCATTCTAGTGTTAAAAGTGACCTTAAAATCTTACAGTGCTCTTTGCATTTGCTTTCTAAATATCTCAATATAAGATATTTAAATACGGAGGAAATATATTTTAAAAACTCATTAAGCAAGTTGAGAAAGGTAGAGGGTCCTCAGGGCCCTCTTCAGAGAGTGGGTAGAAACTTGCAGTCTGGACTAACTTCTGTGCTTTCAGACAAACGATTTTAGGGTTGTAGTGAGTTTTCTCATCTTTTTTGCTCTTTTTACTTACTTTTCCTCTCCCTCCATTTCTCTCTTGCCTGCTTTTTCCTTCCTTCCCACCCTTTTCATTTTCTTCTTTATTCCTTTATTTTTTCTTTCTTTTTTTTTTTATTCCACTCACTTTTCCTCTTCTTGTTGTTTTTCTTTTTTTTTCCCTGAGGGTAGAGACTCCTCTTGTCTTATGTGTGTCTTTTGCTCAAATTTCTTATATTATTTGAACTATAATTGCTGAAATTATATATTATGATTGGGAAAACAATAATCCAACTTTTGATTTTCACTTAGTCTAGTAAGGGTTCAATTTTTTTCTGTTATAAGCATGGTAAAATAGTAGTGATTCATGTTTTGTGTTTTTATTTTTGTGTCACCTTTGGCAGGGGCTGAGAGAGACAAAACATCCATATACCTTTGTGTCAAAGGAGGGTTTTAGAGAATTACTTTTGGTCAAAGGTGCTTCTGAAAAAACTATACCTTTGCTACCTCGACTGATCCCTGTGCTGAAGGCAGCTCTGGTACGTCATTTATCTCGTTCTGCTTTGTTATTTTAAAATCACATGATAGAAAAGAAAATTCTAATATGTGTGGATATTTTGCATATTATATGCAAACAAGTTCTTTTCCTGTGATTTTGGGGTATGTACAGAGTGAGGCCACTGGTTTTCAGGGCCAGATGATTATGCATTTGAATACACCATTAAAGGACATACTAAAGGTCAAAAGGGACATTTTGAATTATTAAAGGAAGTAATATGCTTCAGATTTATCCTTTTGTATGCTAGATATATTGTAGTTCATGCTTTAGTCAGGCTGAAAATTTGTTTCTGCTTCCAGATGTCCAGCATTAAAGCTACTTTTTAAATTTTGGTTTTCACTGATTGTCTTCTAATTTTAGACGTTTAAATTTTTTTCCCCACCTGATTGCCCTTTGTCTAACCTATCCTCTTCCCCAACCCCTCTCCCCCATACTTCTAACCACCATCCCCACAGGTCCATGCAGATGACGACGTGTTCGAGAGAGGGTTGGGTGCTCTGGTACAGTTAAGTGTTGTTGTTGGTTCTTCTCTGAATGATCATCTGAAACATCTGCTTACAAGTGTGAGTACTGTGAAGATTAGAGAGTGATTGTGTATATGTAGCTCTTCATGATGTAACGTCTTCCAATTAATCATTAAAATACTTCAAAATCTTGAACCAAAAAATATAGAGATTGCCCATTTTAGTGATGGATGCTGTTCTCTTTAATATCTTTTTATGGCAAGTGCCAATAAAAACAGAGTTTATGCATTTAATAAAAAGTAAACAAAAATTTAATGATAAAAATTAATGAGCAGTATAGTGTTATTGTACGTATGTGTATTATCTGTGAATTATAAGCAGTGCTCATATGCCCTTTTGTGTAATTATGTATTACCAAGCCCAGGCTTTTCTCCATTTTTCTTTTTCGTTGCCATTGTCAGTTTTTTTTTACATTGAAGATGGGATTTTTCCTGTGTAGTTTAATCCTTGTCTCAAATAGACATTGGAACATTGTAGTTCATGAGGTCTCCGGGACAATTCTTAGGTGTAATAATTTGCTAGAAGGATGCAGAGACCTGAGAAAAGATACTATTCATGGTTACACTTATTACAGCCAAGAGATCCATTCAAAGCAGCAAAGTGAGAGGCACATAGAGCTCTGGATGTACAGCTACATGCCATCCTTTCCCGGTGAAGTAGTCAGACAGTGCTTGCCTCTTCAGCAGCAGAACCTAGGAGCATTCATGGAGCCTGCTCATGAGCCTTTGTGTTCATTGGTGTTCACAGTTCTTAGTGATGTCTGCCACTCAGGTGTAATTGCCTGTCTGCGTGGTTGACATTAGTCTATACCCTCTCCAGAATCTAGATCACCTTGTTAGCATAAACTATCTGAAATAGCCTAAAGCCTGATTAGCAAAGACACTTACCTGGCAGGACATTCTAAGACCTTAGAGATAACCATCCAGGAGGTTGGGGCAAGGGCTAAATCTTTCTTTAGGCAAGGTTAATCCTTACTGCACACTCTTATAAATACTAAAATCCTGGCTGGGGTCATCCATAATGAGCATGGAGGGACTGTTGCACAGTCCAATGCAAGTAAACTGAAGAAATATAGAGATACCTTTTCGAGAAGCTGATGGAGTGGCTCAAGTAGTAAAGCACATGCCTTGCACACATAAGGCCCTGAGTTCAAATCCCAGGACTGCAAAAAAAAAGTGAAGAGAGATTTTTTCTTGTTAGTCTCCAAGATATTGGTAGGCTCTGGGAGTCTCTTCCTTTCAAGTTGCCTTTCTCATGTTCTTTTATCTTTCTGGGAGTCTCTTCTGACCCAGGCTAATTGTCAGTGTTTGATTAAAAGGGCTTGCTACTCAGTGCTCCTGCTGGATTGCTTTCATATCTTGGAGGACCCAGGACCAGAAACCAACTTTCTATAGCATAGTTCTTGTAAGTGATGAATGATGAATTCTTTGCCCAAGCTTCTAGAAAGTGAACCCCTGAGCAAGTCCTTCTATAAAATGAAATGTTTAGGTTTTGGGGTACAGTAATGCAGACATGTGAGAATATTGTTACAAGCTGTTCTTGATAACCTAAATTGCACTGTTTATCTATTTCCTCCTATGACTATCCTCACTTACCTGAGTGCACTCTCTTTGTAAACAAACTCCCACCTTTCCAACTAGGGCCTGGTTAGGACATTCCTTGGGATAGGCGGTCTTGTGGTTTCTATTCTGAGTCCTCTAACACTATTGCTTAATTTTTCCATAAATGTGCTATCATTTTTTCAACTCTTCCCTGTTATTGTAGGAAAATATGTGCTAATGAGGTATAGCTTTCTATCATGGTCCTCCAAATGTACTTGCATATTAAAAAATGGAAAAATATGCTGTTTCACAGAAAACTTTCTCTAGTTGTCATAAATGTTGTTGAATTGATAGTGTTTGAAATAATGTAAATTCATTTTTAAGCAATTGCAATGGTATCTATTGCATATAAATTTTAATGTTGCTTTCTAAAAGCAGCCTTGATGTCTTAAGGGGCGCTCATACAGTTTAGTCATGCATGTGGTGGACATTGTGTTTCCACATTATTTCACCCCCTCCCAATCTCTCCTCGAAAGCTTTCCAAGAGGCTGATGGACAAGAAATTCAAAGAGCCGATCACTAGTGCATTGCAGAAGCTGGAGCAGCATGGTGGAAGGGTAAGTGAGATCCCTTCAGTTACGGCTTTTTGTTTGCTTTACTTTTAGGCCTATAATAAAATTGGTGCTCTGTTTAGCATGTATTATCTCATTTCAGCTCAAGTAACCCTGTGAATGTGATAGTGTTATTTTCAATTTTAGAACTCAGAGTTTTTGTCTTGCCAACATCACACAGGTTTTAAGTACAGGGACTCAGACCATGGCTGGGTAAATTCAAGGCCTGTGCACTCATGTACTGTGTGGTACAGCCTTAGTTTTTCTCTTTAAACTAAGTTAGATGTTTTTGCTTTGACCATTGAAAAGTGCAAGGGGAGAAAATAAGAACTCATCAAGTATATATTTTTCTTTTCATGTTAACGGTTTTTTTCTTTTTTCTTTTTGCCAATACTGAAGTTTGGACCCAAGGCTTCACACTTGCTAGGCAAATGCTCTCTCACATGAGCCATGTTTCCACCCCGTTTTGTTTTAGGTTGTTTTTTTATATATGGTCTTGCTTTTTTTCTCAGGCTGGCTTGGGACCACAATTCTCCTGTTTATGCCTCCTGTATAGCTGAGATAGATTACAGGCATGCATCACCATACCCATCTTGCCTAGTCTGTACTGGAACCACAATCCCCTAAATCTCCCCCCAAGTAGCTGGGATTACAGAAGTGTGTATTTGTTGGAGTTGAACCACTGAAACACTGTGAAATAGTCCCATTGATTATTCTGACTTTTCAAGAATGGGGGGGATGTCATTACTCTATGATGTCAACTAGATTCATTGAATTGGCATTATTTGAAGAAGTGTTCAGATATCTAGTTTTAGTGATATTTCCACAAATCTCATTTTGGAGATTATGTTTTATCAGATTTTAATGATAGGATTACATGTAATCATCTTAATATTTCAGAACTTAGTTTCCTTTTACTTTTTTTGGCAGGGGCAATACTGAGGGTTGAACTCAGGGCAGACAGTCTGTCACTTGAGCCACTCTGACAGCTATTTTACTTATTTTCTAAAAGAATTAATTACCATAAGATGTGCATGATCACATATAACTTTAAAATGGCTTTTTCTAAATTACCTAATTTGTCTAATTTCAATGACTTTTTAAATCAATTACATTCTTTCCATGATGAACGCCTGGAATAAAGTTTATAAAGAGGTGGCCAGGCGCCACTGGCTTGCAGTTGTAATTCTAGCTTCTTGAAGGGCTAAGATCTGGAGGGTTGCAGTTTGAGGCCATCCTGGGCAAACAGATTGTAAGACCCCATGGCCAAAATAGTGACAGCAAATTGGCCTGGAGTTGTGGCTTAAGCAGTAGAGCACCTGCTTTGCAAGTGTGAAACCCTGAGTTCAAACCCCAGTCCCACCAAAATAGGGGAAAAAAGTTTATGAAGAGGTAATAAGTTCCTAACCTATGGGGTAATGAGCTTCTTCATTGGGTTTAAGTCCTAGATGAAGGATTAGTGTTCAGGTATCTTGTTGAGGAAATGTGCAGAATGAGACCCTAGCCAACCTGTGTCCCTGTTTAAGAGAAAGGAAGTACTTGCTTATAATGTACTTGCTGTTCTGAGAATTTGAAAGCAGAATGTACTTGCCCTTTCCTCCCCTCTGAAATACAAGTTAATAGATGATAAATATTGATGACAGCTTTTTAACCCCAAACTCTCCCTCAGTGGTTTCCCACACCCTTTAGACCTCTGTTAGGAATGGGACAATAAAAAGGGCCAGGGCCAGCATGTTACATTTCATGGATGTCTGTGTGGGGAGGAGGTAGTTAATATGTAAATAAATTTCAGAAGCAGCATATAAGATTTGGGGCTCACTACAGAGGGTGTAATTGGACAATCAAAGGTCCCAGAGAGAGTGAGTGCCTCTTTATTGCAACTCAGTCTATTTAGCTTTGAATGTTGCTAATACAGAATTTTTTAAGGAAAACATTTACTTACAGGAACTCTTAAGTATTGTTTTTTTTCTTCAAATTTTTCCACCCTCCTGTGCCATATATAATATTTTAGTAACAATTGCAATTACATCAAAGACATTCTCTCGGCTTTTGGTATTTTGCAGTCTATCATGAATTTAATGAATACTCTTCTTCTAAGAACTTAAAAGCTTATCCGTTTTGTTAAATGTTAGAAGTGAGTCTTTTAGAAAGGATTCTTTTCAGTATTACAGTTTCACATTTTTAAAGGTTTCTATGTATTATAGTGATGTGAAGACCCAACTTTTGAGGAAATAAAATCTATTGTAGACAGTCACAGGTCACTTTCTTATGACTAAACTTTACCTGCCTTCAATTGAAACCAATTTATTCTTAGCCTGATTAATCTTTTTCTAAGTAATATGTTCATTTGTCTTGGAAAGGCATACTCTTACACATATCCCAATATTTATTTCTTTATTGAGTATGTGAGAACTTATTCATAACAGGTACTCTAGTGACTACTTTTAGGCATTAAACTTCATAGGTTATTTTGGTATCCTCCTTTAAAGATCAAGAAACTGAAGCACAAAGAAGTAATTAGCCCAGGTTTGACAGTGAAGTGAGTGGGAGAAGCTCGATTTACATTCTGGTCTGGCCTCCAAACTACTTCTCTAGGTACTTAAAAGGGTTCATCTATATTTTATTCAACTCAGAAAAAGCATCACTTCTCATTTCATAATTTTGTTCTTATTCGGCTTGAGTTTTGGATACTTTGTAGGCATACTTGCAAATGTAATACATATTAGTGTAACTGCATGTACTAATGATGCTAATTTTTTCTTTTGACAGGGAAGCCTAATAATCATCAAATCCAAAATTCCTACATACTGCTCTATACACTCTTGAATAAGGGAGTCAACAAAAATCATCTCACTTTTTGCTGACAGGTATCAGGCACTGAGCAAGAGTACCACCCATGGAACTTTTTTCTGTTGTTTATACTTTTGGAAATCACAGCCATCATTCATTATTTGCTAGATTAAGAGAAGTATACACATTCCAGATGAATCATAGGAAAAGTCACTCAAGAACAAAAAAGGACAAGTAATAATGCACAATTAAAAAAACTTCTATAATAGCATAGTTTTGTGGATTTTTTCCTCTTATTTTTATCCCTAATATGAAGAGCTGTTATTAAATTTACAAGATAATATATGTTTGTTTTTATTTTTACTGCATTTTTATTTATAATATCTCTTTGACAATCATTTTGGAGCTGTGCACGTATTTTTATACATTGTCTTTTGACCATTTCTCGGGTTATATTTATCAAGGCTACAGAAATTTAAAATAGTGAATAAACACTTAGGAATTCACTATTAGTTATTATTTTCAAAAATGTATTTTGTAATATATAATGCTTGTAACAATTTCTTTCCAGAGTATTCTAGTTTTAGAAATTTGTTTTAAGTGCACAAATTCTATTGTAAGTATGTTGTTGGTTTTTACAATTTATTAAAACTGCCTAAACTTTAGGTGTTAATTATATTTAAGTAAATGCTATTATTGAGTTTCATATCCTGAGAGGCTGATGAACATATACAGATATTCAGAAATTAAAATTTTTAAACTCTCATATGTATGTAATAATTTTGTTATGTTAGCTTGGGTTTAACAATTACTTGGTTTTTTAAAAAGGTTTTAAAATATATAGATATAATTCAGAATTTTTGGTGTACTGGAAGCTGAGTGTAGAGCATTTTGTAAGAGGAAGAAATGGAGAAAGAGAAATAGAAGATAGGAATAAGACTTCTATCTTACTGGCAAGAAGAGCCTTTAGGAACTTGAGTAGCCAGAACAAATCCAGAAGAAAACAATACTTTGGAAAGGAGACAAGAAATCACTTTTTTATGTGGGAGCAGCAGTCCTATTCCCCGAAACATCAGAGGATGCCTTTTCCTTATTTTTTCTCTCAGATGCCCAATTGACCTCTTTGCAGTTCTCATTTCAGATAGTCTTTCTCACAGCTGTGAATTGAAGAGTACAAGTAGCTTCTGAGGAGCCATGATATGGAAATGCCCATTCTCCCACAGAGCTTTTGCTTCTTACTTCGTCTGTCTGGCCCTCTCTTTCCCCAGGTCTCTAGTCCTATGTCACATCCTCAGATCATGCTGGTTGTCACAGCTGCCTGCCCACTGGTCTTGCTTTGATTTTTCTTTTTTGTGTTCAGCACTATCCAAAGATACCTACAATCTAGAAAATTGTAGGAATACGAAAAAAAGGAATGATTTTAATCTAGTAATTAATTACAAAATGTGTTAGAATAAAGAACTATAACATAGACAATAGAGTTATAAACATTTTATTTTGCTTTATTTTTCTTTTTTGGAATACAAAATGTGCACATTGAGTTTACACAAACACACGATGGCAAATTTCAGTGTACATGTATTGTACTACTCTTAATTTCTACACTGGTGATAGCAGGGCAGCTTTCAACATCCTATCTCTACACCAGAATAGATACCTGATTTACCGTTTCAAAGACAGTTGCAAATTCCCTCTTCCTGTAGCCTCTTGGTCTTTGTGATGTTTCTGCAGAACAGGGAAGATGTGTGTATCTATAGTACTGTGTGGCAGCTTTACAGTTTTGGCTTAAGACCATTACAAGGAATCTGCATTGTTGGAGTTTTATGATGAGCTAAATCAAAATGCAACCCAGATGAGTTGTTCAATGTTTCTGTAGTGTTTATATTCTTTTTCTATGAAATCTTGATAGTAGTTTTTAATGTGATAGGATCATGATGCTTTCAAAGTGAACTCTGCTTACTCTTTGTCCCTAGTAGGCTTGGGGTGGTCAAGGTTTCTTTGCCCCTGAATGACTTGCAATACATGCTGTGAGGAAGTCAGGGAAAAGGGGATGAAACTGGCCTTTAATGTTGTAAGGATTATTTGTTACTTAGCCTTACTATGTATTGGAGGACAGATAAGCCTGACCCTTTGCATATGTCTGTAAAAACCCTTGCTTTGTTTAACACCTTCATGAGCTTAAGGACACAATAGAAAACAGTCCACTTGTAAAGTTGAACACATACAAAATTATATGTATTATGTTGGCCTTGACTATAATATGTGTTACGGAAAATTAGGGAATGCTTTTAAAATAAGTTTTTTTAGGCATATGCTGACATCTGGTAATAAACTAATTTGGTAAATATTATGTTTTTTTTAAAAAAAGCCAGATAAATTAATGTTTTTAACAGAAGATGGGGAAGCCAGAGAAGTTGGGATTAAGTGTTTTTGGTATTTTTAAGTGTAATAATTTTGCTAGTGTTATATAAATGCAGTTGAATGAAAATTAAATTAATTTTTGGAAATTAAATGTAGATGCAACTATATTAGAAAAACATTTAAAATTCTAGGACTGAGTACATACAAATGAGTAGCAAAAACACTGATATTTTAAAATCACTGATATGTGAAAGCCTCAATAATCCCATGGCTAAAGAATCAAAACTATATGCCAGATTCTATTACTCTTGAATGTTCACAGAGTGTGAAATGAATTAGAACATCTCATGAACTCGTTATTATGAAAAGGATGCTGATTTATAACTGGGAAACTCAAGTCTTTGGGGGATAGTTTTATATTAAAACGAAGCTTGTTTGCATAATATGCCTCAGTGAAAAGCATATGCTATGCTAAAAGTGGTAGCTCCAACTTTTGAGTGTGGCAGAGCAGTTCACATTGTCTGTTTGATTGAGGAATATTTCACAAGTTAAATCACATTTTCGAAGAGCTGCATGGAACGCATTATGTTTTCATCCTGTAAGGGAGAAACATGAAAATCTAAATTTAGCATATCTGCAACAGAAAGTGTACTGTTATGCTCCTAGTGTTATTTCCTCCTACTGACAGCCTACGCCAAAGCTCATGTGCTGAGTGTTTACAAATGAAATTGCCATTCTATCCACTTTCCACATAGGGAATCATGAAGGGCTCATTTTATGTTTTCTTGACTCTGCCAGACTCCAAACATTTCATTTAGATTTATTTGGAGTTAGCAGAGGATATTTTTCAAGTCATACCATCAGAACACACCAGAGAGGCACAGGGGATAAGTCAAAGTGAGCAAATGAGAATGTTGGCATTCTAGGTAAATCACAAACCAAATCAGAGTCTTATACAGGTGACTGCACACAGAAATGGATGTTTGCAGTAACTATACCTCACTTTATACGTCTGCCTTGTATAGCTGAAGCTGTGGCTTTTGGGTGCCTTTAAAAATGAATGGTTTCTGAATGTAAAAGAAAGGATTGTTAGGAAAAACCATTGCATGGTGGCTGCATTCAGCTTAGCATCTTCCTTAGGAATTTTAGGAGCATTTGTCAGTTGTGCATGAATGCTTTTAGTGAGCTATTTATAGTAGTAGTAAATGGGGACTGAACCACTGCTCAAAGCCAAGTAATGATACCACCATTAAGCAGGCTGATGTCACCAAGTTCTCTCCAGGATAGTGACTTTGAATAGGAATTGAAAACAATATCAGGAAAGGTAAAAATGAACAATTGAAAAATAAAGGGAAGACCTGAAGCCCCAACAAATTTGTCTCCGTGATTATTTTTTTAAAAATTCTTCGTTATAGCTCTATCCACACATTGTCAAGTAATTGTAGGTAAGCTAACACTAGTTTCCCAAATGATCAGTAACTACCCAGAATTTTCCACTCTGTATTTTTTGTGATTGAAGGCCATTATTGGATTCTGCCAAAAAATAAATTATTGCCCTCATACAGCAAAGCAATGATATTTCTCTTAAAAATTGGTTATAAGCTTGATCCTCATTCTGTGGAAATATGTTTGAAAAGATACATGTTATACAGTAAGTCTGAGAATCGGGTCAATGATTAAATACTCTAAATTATGAGGGGAACAAAAATGATACATGTGTGTCTTCAGGGTTTCCTACAGTCCTACATTCCTTCAGATTAGGCACTCTGTGACACTGATCTAATGAATGTGTAAATTGGTGCTGGTTTTCAAAATGTTAGGCTTATCTCACCTGTGCTAACCGTATAGTTCGTGGTCATTAACTGTCCATACTCTCTAGCTATTATGAAAACAAAAGTGACAGTTTTTTCCTCTCATTACTTACTTTTTGGCAACTTTCGATGAACTCATCTATGGTGACGACCCCATCTTTATTTTTGTCCATTTTCTATGAGGAAGAAAAGAGCAAAGCATTTTATTGAGACTTCCCCTTTGAAGCTCGCACTAAAACCAGTGAGCTAAAGCTGATGAAAAGATAGCTAGCCCATCTGCCTGTTTCATGTGGAGGAAGTGTGTTGTAACAAACTAGTGATTTCTTACAATCATGGCCAAATCGTTCCACACTGTGCCCTCTTCGGTGTAATGTGAAGATCTGGAGTCACTTTGCCTTAGGTAAAATCCTATTTCCTAAATATAAGGGAGCCCAGGCAATTTGTGGAAACTTTTAGAACCTTTGTTTTCTCATCTGTAAAAAGAGCCAATGAGAATTTGTAACTTTATAGGGTCCTTGTGAGAACCAAATGAAAATGACCTGTGAAACATGAAAATTGCTTAGCGCTCTACCTAGGATATTGTGAATGTTCAATAACTCTTTGTCAGTGTTACAATATATTCAAAACCAAAATTGATAAATTAGTAAAATGATTGCTCATTAATTGCTCTTACCCCCTGCCCGACTTCTCTTTTCATTCCTACCTGGAAAAATGTCTCCACATGTTGCCTGGGAGCATCTTCTTTGAGGACAGGATATGTGCATTTACCCATCATATCGTAAATTGCTTTCATTATATCAAGCATTTCCTAAAAAGGAGAGGCACTTGCATGAGGCTACACACAAAGTCTAAAGAAACAAGGAGCTTTGACTGATTTTATTTTCCCAGTTTTGGTTTTTTAAAATTTTTTCTTTGATACTTCATGAGGTACCTTTTGGCTGTCTCAAAGGCAAAGCCACCAGATAGCTTTTTGCCTTCACAGTAGCATAATCAAAAATGTAAGACTCAATTTCAAAATAAAGCAGATTCCCATGGTCAGGAAAGGAATGCTCCGGTTTAATGTTTGGATTTCCACAGACTATGTACACTTTTACTGAGTTATTACATAGTTATTGATTATGAATACACATCTGTTGGAAATATATTGCATTTAGAACTACTAAAGCAAATTTCTAGCTACAACTAATGAAACAACTGCTCATTAGGATTTTCATTTTTTTTTTGATCATGGCTTTAACTGAAGAAGCCACACATGAACACTAGTCAAAATATTTTGACTCTAGGACACACCTGGGCATTTTATTAACTTTTAAAGTAAAATCTAGTTTTGGCTTGTCATTTTCAATCTAGTGAGAGTAAAAATAGTTTGAATTATTTAGACATTCAGATTTGTTGTATCACATACAAAGTCTTTGTTTTAGATGGGTAATACAATCTTACATATATTTACTTTTCAGAGTATTCAATTCTATTATAAGTGATTAATTGGTAATTGTAAAAATAGGGAAAACTTTTAAAGATGTTTTGAACACAGAAAAATAGCGTGAAGTTTGTTAGATATCAGCAGAATTCATGGAATGTGTTAATTATTGAATGGGCCAGAAAAGAAGTGAAGGACTAAGATAGCTAAGGTTCCTGAGGTACCTGCATAATGAATGTTCATGCTATACCAAATATACAAACAGCACTAATATCAATATTCATGAAGTCACTTAATTCAGCTCCATTGGCCACCCTGTGTCCTCTGTCAAAGAAACACAAAACCTATGACTACAAATGAACCACTAGTGGTGCCGTGTATACTTGTCCCTGAGACATGTCATTGGTCCTGGGAACCTTCTGTCTTTGGGGACTCTTGTTCAAAACCTAACTCTAAGGAAGCTGTTAAGACACAGAATTAAGTCATTTAAACATTGAGACTGCTCCAACAGTGGATGGTATTCTCCTTCAACCCATTTTTGTCCCCTGTCCTAAGTGTGGTCAACTTAGCCCATCCCTTTGGCTTTGTTTTTTACTGTATTTTAATTTGGTTCAATAAGCCATGTGATAAGAGCATCTTAATTTGTGGTGTGAGTCATCTCTCTGGATAGTCTGCCTGGAAGTGTGTTTGGAGAACCCACCATTGCATCACTTATTCCCATAAAACAACTCATAGAACAATCCTGTGATTGAAAACTTGCATGTTTCCATATGGGTCATATTATGTGGGGGAAAAAAGTTTTCAGGCCAGATATTCTCAAGTAGTTTGATATATTTTCTTCCCATCTCATTCCAACCACAGTCTTCATTCTATTTCCAGAATTTATTAAAATGTCCATAGGAAACGGTATAATTTTCACGTGTGTATGTTTTCTTTGGAGATTTACCATAAACAAATCCTAGCAACTTCTACATTTTTATTAGAATAAGTCTACCACTACCACATAAAATATTTTGGATTTCCTGAAAAAAATGATTTTCAAGTTAACTGCAATTTTTTCAGTTAAAAAATGAAAGTGGCCCAGAGGAAAGCTATGTTGGTGGGGCATCTCTTACTTCTTTAGTGATGTAGCCGTCTTTATTTATGTCATATAAATTAAATGCCCAGTTGAGTTTTTCTTGTACTGTCCCCCGGAGCAAAATGGAAAGACCCTTGATGAAATCCTAAAAGAGTAATAAAAATATTATTTAGAATTATAACATTCTCTCAAATATTGGAAATTTTGGATTTTGAACAATTTATTTAGCAAAATTACTAGTGCATTTTTGGTCATCTGTTTCCCAGAGTTCTTTGTAGGCATAAACCATGCCCTTCTAATTGAAAACTATGAGTTAAATCAAACATGGTATTGGAAATCACATCGAGTATCGAAACATCAGGGTGCTTGAGTATAAATCATATTGGCTTTCAGTGAAAAGTGCACACATTTACTGAAAAGAATCTAATAACAATGTATTTTAAATACAAGTATGTACATAATACATTTCCCATGAAAAAATATTCCTAACAAGAAATACAGGCTGTCCATAAGAGACAGATACAATTGAGTCCTTTAATTACAGCTCAAGCTCAAGTTTACATGTGGGAAGCGGGCAAGAGCCGGGGTTGGTAGCCACATTACCTGGATTCAAATTCCAGCTATGTCAGTTGACAGTTTTGTGTCCTCAGGCAACTTACCCTTTTGCCTCTAATTTTATATCGTAAAATGGGGATAGTGATATCACCCTCAAAGATTGAGAGTTAAGCTGCTTATAACAGTCCCTGGCAAGGGCATTGTGTACGTCTTTGTTAATAAATGGAGCCCTCAGCTAATATCAGGGTTCAGGTGGCATGATTACGGTGCAGAGGAACCAGATCAACTAGATCACATTCATACCTGATCACATAAATCAGGGTCAACATTGAAATGTGCTGAATTTAGAATCAATTTATTGTTAGGTAGAAGGGAAGTCCAAAAGTTGCTCTCTGGGTGTACTTCCTCTCTCCTACATTCCATCATTTTGTAGCTGTTTTCCTGTCCCAATTTCTTAAAATGTTTTCTGTGTTTTTTGAACTGTTAACATTCATATAGTTCACAATTTAGAAAATACTCAAAATGGTAAAGAAATCCTCTTTCTGTAGAATAACTGGCATTAGTTGTTTCTATTTACTTTCAAGAATTATTGTATATATAATTATAAGTTACAGTAAGCCTTATTTGCAGATTTATTACACTGTTTTGACCAAATACAACCAAAAAAATCAATAGAAATTTGATAAACACTTAAAATTCCAGTTCACGCAATACATAGCTCAGTTGATGGGGTGGAGGTCTCGGTCCCATGTTATCGTCAGTTGTGTTTAAATCATTATGTGGTCTGCTGAGTGTTTCCCTACCTTGAATTGTGTGCAAATCTGCCTCCCCAAAAGCAAATAGTGTCAAAAAGCAATGTAAAAGTGAACTTACTCGAAGTGATACAATGAAAATTTGAGACTTGTTGAAAAGCAGCACACTTTTTGTGGAAATTGAGTGATAATTTTGTAAAAATGAATGAAGCATCCACAATACACTTCTGAACTCTGTGTATCCTGAATTGTGGTCTCCTTGGAACCATACCACGGTCTACTATACATTTATATATATATTCCTCCTTCCTTTACACAAATTATAACACACAGTTCTGTATTTGATTTTTTTTCACACTGAAATCTTGAAAACAGTCCCCTAGTCTTTTTTCACTATTGCACAAATGAATGCATTGTAGTTTATTTCACCAAATTGTTCTTTCACATTTCTTCTCAAATTTATTTCTATGTTTTTAATCTTTCTTTTGCTATTGTAAATAAAGTTTTATATGTTCCAAATTAGTTTTGCTTCTGTATATGAAAGCTATTGATTTCTGTGTAATAATTTCACACCCTGCTGTATATGTTAGTTTTTCTCCTGGAATTTACATGTATGTGATTCTATTAGGTGCAAATGGAGTTAATTTTATCACTTCTGATTTTCACATGTTGGTTCTGTTTTTTTCTATTTGTGTGGTCTAATACATCTGGAACAGTATTACTTAATGATAATGATAATAGATTACCTTTATTTTGATCTCGAACTTAAGATATTTCTTTGTGTTTCTCCTTTGAGCATGATGCTGACCTTTCTAATGCTAAAGAAGCATAAAAACCACTTCAGTTTTCTCATAAAAATTTATCAAGAATGGCCAAATTTGTTGCATAAATTAAAAAACTGATTGTCAAATACACCTGGAATTTCAAGGGGCCCCAACTAACCAAAATAATATTGAGAAAGAAAAACAATTCACACTTCCCAACTTCAAAACTTACTATAAAGTTACAGTAATCAAAACATGTTACTGGCATATAGACCTGTAGAACAATTAAGTCCAAGTGTAAACCCCAGGACATTGACCATTCAATAGGAAAATAATAGACCTTCAAAATATGATCTGGTAACAACTGGATAATTATACATATTTGACTTCCTATGTCATTCAGGGTAGTATGTAGCATAAGAGAAAGAGAGGATTCAAGAGAAAACAAGAAAAATTCTAAAATTCAACAGAGGAGAAACTGGAAAGTCACCTTGATAAAAAGTTGCTGAAGAAGAAAGGGAAGTCGAGAAGAGATCATTTCACTAGGAAGGGATTGCTCACCTTGAGACAAAGCTGCTATGGAGGACAAGCAACATGCAGGCACCAGAGATCTCTATTTCAATGGAGTAGAGGGAGCAAAGCATGACTTTTTAAATAAGTATTTTGATTACTGAAGGGAAGAACCTAAAAAGTAAGAAATGGATGGTATTCCTAGGATGGTAGCCAGTATGCAGGGTCAGAGCTGTGAAGGGAGGAGGTACAGGAGGAAGGAGAACATGCTGCAGATGGCAGTAGCTGGTCAGAAGTGAGAAGATGAGAGAATTTCAATCTGCCTTAGTGGGTGTCAGCATGGCAGAAAGGGTAACAACCAGGTTTGAGGTAAGAGAAAGGGGAAGCTCTGTCTGCTACTACATATGGTGAATTGTGCAAGTCAGAGGAAAGTGAACCATCCTTAAAATATTTTCCATCTCCTGGAAATATAAAAGATAATATATAATTAAGAGACAGATGTCATTTGGAATTGTGCAGTATGTAACTTGTACAACTGTAAGCTTTGGCTTTTTAAGGTGTAAAATAGTTGTTGCAGAGCACAGGAATACAGCCTTATTAGAAAACAATTGCATAATTTTGAAATGCTAGACGACAGAGTATAAACCTTATGTTTCTTCAAATCACAAAGTAGTAGCAATATATCATTAGTTGGAAAAGGGGGCCTGGTTACAAAGTTTTTGAGAACATGTTTAAAGTATCAGCTCAAAATTGAGCATAGAATCACCTGGAGAGCTTACTACTACACAGGTGACTGGGCTACCACATCTGAGCTAACACACCCAGAGTTTCTGATTCATTAGTTTCGGGGTGAGGCCCAAGGTTTTACCTGTCAAATAAGTTCCAAGGGAATATCTAGACTGCAGTTCCCAGAAACACATTTGAGAACCAGTATGAGGCCCACAGGAATCATCACTGGCATTGTTCTCACCACCAGACAAAACATAGCAGAGTAACAATGAAAGATTCAAAGTCAGTCCTTTTAGCTCTATGTGGACTTCTGTTGTTTTCCTTAGCAGAGCTCGCATTTGCATTTGGTGCTCTGCAGTAAACCTCTGTGGAGGTTTACTCCATCCTAGAGATGGAGCATGGCCTGGACAAAGTCAGGAATTGCATTTAATCTCTTTGGCAGGGATAATTGGACCCATGATTGGGACATAAATAAACTAAGTCCAAGTCTAAGACTGATTCTCAGGACTCTTGTACTCTTGCTAGAAATGCTAGTACACAGATATTCTTCCTTCCCAGTCTGACAGGAACAATGAATCACAGAGCTCAAGCACTCCCTTGCAATCATACAGGGGGCCTGACCTTAGGGTGTAGCCAGCAGCCCTATCTCTGGCCTTTTCATTTCTGTGAGCCAATAATATTATCATATTGTTTTAGCATGACTTTTCTGGTCTTTAAAAACAAAAGTACTCTGATTCTCATTCTGACACCCAATTCACACCTTTCTCAAAATCCTATGCATCCTGAAAGTGCTTATCATGGAACAGTGGCTACAGTCTTGGATCAGTTTTCCTTTATCTGGCTGGATGATGTTGGTAAAAGGTTCTTTCAAAAGAGTAATGAATGACTACCTTATTTTGTGGAGAACAAAAATGGGAAACTCAATGTGGCTTAAGAGGATTTTTCTCCTTGCTTTTCTGAATGGTAATTAAAATCTCTCAAGCAGGAAATGACAATGCTCAAACCAAAACAACAAAAACTCCCAGGATATTTTGCACAGTTACTTTATTTTTTTTAGGTATAGAAATGTCTTTTTTTTTTTTTTTTTTTGGCACTACTGGGGTTTGAACCCAGGACTTTGTAGATGCTACACAGATGCTCAACCACTTGAGCCATGCCCCCACCCCTTTTTTTGTATCTTCTTTTTTTGTTATTTTCTCCTTTTTTTTCCCACTACTCCTTCATGCTTTAGTTATTTTTTTAAATAGGGTCTCATGCTTATCCTCAGGCAGGCTTCAAAATGCAATCCTCCCAATTTGTACCTGCCAAATAGTTAGGATTACAGGCATGGACCACAGCTCCACGCATATTTGTTCATTCATGTACAAAAATGATAATGATGGCATCTGTTCTGAATTTCCATTCTCTTGCTATCAAGGCAAAAGAAGGCAAAGGGGTGGAGGTTTTGATAGGTAGCCGATAGACATAAGCTGCTGAAAATCGTTATAATTAAACTTCCAACTCCACAGGTGACCAGTCACTGTTAAAATCAGATGAGCCCATCAAGGCCAGGGGATATCCCAGAATGCTTTGAAGTCTGTCATTTAAAGCCTAATCCTTTCTTTACTCAACAGCAAGCCACACCCTAAATTTCAGCTAGGCCTGCTTGGGGTTGGAAGTTTCACACAGGTAATCTCTATAAGATAAAAATTCTGCATCCTCCCCCACCCCCCAATAAAAAAAAATCTAAAGATCCAGGCCCAAGAGCCGTACCCTATGTATCAGATAGACTGGGGGCTGAGAGTTCCACAGGTAACCTCTACCAGAAAGACCCGGGGCTGAGAATTTCATACAGG